GTCATCAATATGGTGAGCTTGTATTCTATCAAACGGAACCAATTTTTTCGGGTGATAGAGTCCGATAAACACAAATGGGTGGCACAATTCAAAAGGAAGAAAGAATGTATTTGCCCCTGGAGAATACACGCCACAAAGAACAAAGGAAACCTTGACACCTTCACAATTGTGCGTTATTGTTGGGAATATTTTATGGTGTTCAATCTAGTTAGTTATCTTTGTATTTGTGTAGTTATTAATTAAATGTGTAATACGGGCCACAAATGTTTATCAGCCCGGGGGCTTCCTTGTAACCCGTAAGTTAGCCAACTTCTCCTATAAAAGGAGGCTAACTTACGGGAACCCTAACAATCGAAAAGAGGCTTTAGAGGCGCAGAGGCGAGATAGAGAGATAGGGTTTGCCGCTGCTCTCCTTCTCCAGGGAGAGCAGCGGCCAGTTTACACGGTATACCAGATTCGTTTGATTTTCTCCATATCTTTCTATCTGCTTCTTATTCTTCTTGTTATGATTGTTGTTTGTTAAATTATGGGATTAACATTTGGTATCAGAGCCGAGGCGTGAAACAGGTTGAATGTATCTGCGATTTTCTTGGATCTAACGAAGAATGCTCTGCTTTTCTTCTGTTTCTCTTCATATAGAGTTTTGCTCCTGTAATCTTGTTTGTAAATGAAAATCTGTAAAAATTATACTGTTGGAATCGCCCTTCAAAGCCGATCCAGCAGCATAAACTCTTTTTCGATTTCTGCAAATTTTCATTTTTTGAAGAACTCTCAATGAATTGCGAGTTTATGCTTTTAACACTGCTGCAGAAACGATTTTGACTTGAAACAGATACAGGAGGGATCGAGACCTTCAGGGCTATTCAGAACAGTTTTCAGATTCTCAAAATTCGACAGTTTTTAAAATCGAGAGTTTTAAACTCGCGGTCATGAACTCGAGTTTGTAAACTCGCGGTCATGAACTCGAGTTTGTAAACTCGCGGTCATGAACTCGAGCTTGTAAACTCGCGGTCATGAACTCGAGCTTGTAAACTCGCGGTCATGAACTCGAGCTTGTAAACTCGCGGTCATGAACTCGAGCTTGTAAACTCGCGGTCATGAACTCGAGCTTGTAAACTCGCGGTCATGAACTCGAGTTTGTAAACTCGCGGTCATGAACTCGAGTTTGTAAACTCGCGGTCATGAACGAGAGTTTGTAAACTCGCGGTCATGAACGAGAGTTTGTAAACTCGCGGTCATGAACTCGAGTTTGTAAACTCGTGGTCATGAACTCGAGTTTGTAAACTCGCGGTCATGAACTCGAGTTTGTAAACTCGCGGTCATGACATCGAGTTTTAAACCTCGAGTTTTTAAAATTTTGAGAGTTTTGGAATTGCGAGTTTTGGAATTTATTTCGAGTTTTAGGAACTCGATGTTTTGGATTTCGACATTCTAAAAAATTTCAGAATTTTCGGAATTTCTCGATGTTTTGAATCTTTCAAAGTTTGCAGTTTCTTGGAACTCATAATTCGAATCTTGACATCCTTTGCAGTTCATCGAAGCTTTACATTATAAGGATCTCTGAATGATTCCCTGCTTATATAAATGTTTCAGGAGTTTTCGATGTTCTGATGTTTTTCAAACAGCAAGTTTTCGAGATTATGAGATTTTTCGAAACTCCAAAGTTTTCGAGGTTCCAAACATTTTGAAATTCTTAAGATTTCGTTATTCTGAGGTTTGTTTTGCAGGTGGATTTCGTCATTACTCTTCAAGGCAAACTCGAAATTAAAATCTCCAGATTTGGATTTCGAGTTTTTGCCTTAGAATTTTGTTTAAACTCACCTGCTCTCGAAATTCAACATCGAGAACCTCAACCTCGAAGATTTTCCTCAAAAACTCAAAATTAGAGATTTTCTGCGACACCGCACTGTTTTGGCCATAACTTTTGACTCGGTGATCCGATTTGAGCAAACTTTTTTTTGTTGGAAAGCTAACGCATAGATCTTTATTTATTCTGGTGGTTTACCCCAGAACCCATTCTCACGCGCCCTCACTCGCAGTCTTGGAGGGTCAAAACGTGAGTTTTCCGACAAACATTGTAAATCACCGATGTCTAGGCCAAAACTTAGGCAAATCTGTTCAAATTCTTTCATTGTCAACCCTGAGGTCAAAACTTTTCTAAACTTCAATGTAAAGGTCTGAAAATCGTAGATAATTCAATCAACCTCGCGTCAACGGTCATCTTACAACAATCAACAATCAACTGCTGAAGCCTCCCCTGACTCATCAACATTATGTGTTCATCAATATGCTGAAATTCTACATGGTGAGTTCAGGGAAACCGTCATGTGTGGTACATGTTTAGATTGCTCCACACACATAGCGGGTATGACAAGCTGTGAGCAATCAATCCTTGCACATTCTGAGGGGGAGTTTCAGTTTTCTCCTCCTGGCGCCTTACACCGACAAAGCAAGGAATCTCTCAACGGATGCAACATTCTAGGGGGAGTGTTCAATGTTATCCTCCCCGGTGCCTAACAATGACAAAGCATACCGGGTGCTCCAGTTGAGGGGGAGCACAGAGAGAAAATGAAGAAAGTAATGAGAGAACATGTCCCTATGGCTTAGTAAACCCAACTAAGCCTACCCAAGGGACAAAGCCGAGCGTAAGTGCGTAAGTGAGCGAGTGAGTGAGTGAACATTATGAGCATTAGGAAGCAGAAGGCTCAAGTGAGAAGAAAAACAATTATCAATGATGAGTCTGCTACCTCAATTGCCTGCTATGAATTGAACATTTGCTCCTAGCCACTAAAATACTCTGGACTATCCCCATAGATTCAGGACTGAATTTATTCAGATCCCGGGTAGAAGTCGCTGCATTTTGTCCAAACGGCGCATGCACAACCCTACCCTAGACCACTCACTTGTCTCCCAACAGACAAGTGTTTAATCATAGTTCACGGGGAACCGCATCTCTCATTACTGTCTCCTTCCGAGGCAAGTAATACTGACTACAGTGGCCTCAGCCCCATGCCACTGAATTTTTCATTGATCACGTCGTGTCTAGTTACTCACTTCCCAAATGTTTTGAAATTTTCTAGGACACAGACACATTTTAGAGTCAGTTGATAGTCTTCAAGACTTGCGAGAACTTCCATAGGGCTCATCTATTACAGATGTAGACCAATAATTGGAAGGAAGTCCTGCTGTTGCAACATAAGAATCACCAACATTTTCAGGCCATTGCTTTAGAGTTTATCTCTATAGTGATGATAACGGGTGTCTTCACGACCCCGGGGGGCTACGTTATCTTTTTTAGATTCTGCTTGTTTTTCATGTTTTTATTTCCGCAGAATAAAAGAATAAAAGCATGACGTCCTGATTCATCGGATCGTCATGAGGGGGAGAGTGGTCCACATGCTGTTAACACTGAACAAATCATTTTGGGACACTTCACTCCTCCATCACAAAATTCAACACCCTCTCTACTATCTCCGCAACTCAAATCAAATGGTCAGCTACACTCACAAATCAACGATCATTATGTTCCGCTGTGCCACCGACAAGTTCTCCTCAAATGCATTCATTCCAAATAGTCAAAAAGACTACATTGTGGAGGAGACAGAGGTCAAATACTCCTGTCCTGAAGATTAATTCCATGGGCGTCTCCTATTCTCCAAAGAACATTCATTCTAGAGGCGTCACCGGACTTCATCCAAGCTGATCAAGAGCAACTTCTGGAAGGCAAGGACTACATGCAAGATACTGAAGGTCCCTCAACCCCCGGCATCAAAGATCAAATTGTCAAGAAGACATCAAAGGGGAGATTGCAAGGATTTCTTCAGATAGCCTTCCTCAGAAGTCAAGTTCAAAGACAAAGGAAGCTCAATAACAACAAAGACAAAGATATCTGCGCTGCAATGCTGATTCAACACGATTGATCACCAAGGGGGAGATTGTTGGGAATATTTTATGGTGTTCAATCTAGTTAGTTATCTTTGTATTTGTGTAGTTATCAATTAATCGTGTAATACGGGCCACAAATGTGTATCAGCCCGTGGGCTTCCTTGTAACCCGTAAGTTAGCCAACTTCTCCTATAAAAGGAGGCTAACTTACGGGAACCCTAACACTAACAATTGATAGAGGCTTAGAGTTTAGAGGCGTAAAGATAGAGAGTAGGTTTGCCGCTGCTCTCCTTCTCCAGGGAGAGCAGCGGCCGGTTTTCATACGGTATACCAGATTCGCGTATAATATCTTCACATCTTTCTATCTGCTTCTTCTATAACTGCTATATTTGTTGTTTGTTAAGTATTCTGGGATTATCATTAGGGTGGGCAAAAAGACCGAAAAAACATGGTACCGAACTAGATGGACCAGCCGTAGTGACACCAAATCAATATTTTTTGTACCAATCCTGAACCGATAAAAAACGAGATGATATGGATTTGCACTTTAAATATTTTATGCATTAAGCAATTCATTTTTAAGTTTAAATTCTATCCATATAATTTTAAAAATAAATGTAGGGACACGTGTCATCTTCATTTTCTATCCATTTTGTTTTTACTTTTTATCCTACTAGTATTTTTATTTGATGTGTGTGAGATCCACGTGCTCTCTAATGAGCCCGTTATGAACTCTTTAAAATTTCTGATTTAATACTTCTTCCGCTCTTTTTAGTTGCAACAATCAATTTTGCTCGCATGTCAATGCACATACTTGGTTGTAAATATATCTAATTCTTTATTAGTATAAAATTGAAAAAAAAGGTTTTGGAGATTTATAATGAGACGAATTGAACAATACTTAAAAAATATTTTTCATAAATTAATAAATAAAATGTAGTCAAAGTAGAGTGTATGAATAGCGTAAAATTAAACATATTGCACCTAACGAAAAGGATGATAGTAGAAATGATTACTAGGATTGAGATTGGTTTCAGAGTTGGAGCAAATAGAGATAGACTTCATTGAAAACATTGTGTGTAAGTTACTCCAAAACATTGATCACTCCAATAGGATTGTGTTAGATGCAAGGATATAGTTACATGCAAGGATATAGAGTTAGAGTCGAGTGATGGGAGTAACATTTTTCCCAATCATAATGTGCAGTAAAATCTCACTCCAAGTGTCAATAGGACCTGGTAAGCACCAATGCAAGCAATCATTGTACCCCTTTCTGGATTTATTTTTCCAAAACTCCCCTGGATGACCATCTGGCCTCATCAACATCATTCTAGTCACGTCCAAAATCTCAAACTTATTTTCACTTTTTTGCCCATACTTCTTAGCTCTTTCAATTTCCTCAACTTGAATGTTCCTGTATTTCCAACCATCTCCTCCAAAACTTACATTTTCTCTAGTAAACCCCTTCGTTCTATTGCAAAAGCCTCCCCTATTCCACCCCCCATTCTCAAATTGTGCAAACGAAAACGTCTTCAAAAACACTACAATCCCTTTCCGTGACTCATTAACATATTCAAAAGTAACTCTATAGGCCTTTCGGATGGAAAAACCAGGACTAAAAGCTTTCAAATTTGGCTCCCCACAATTTACACACCCAATAAGCTTTCCGCCCTTGTATAGGTAGTTAGGTCGTGAAAACCAATGTGCGACTGAAAAAATTGCGAGATCAATGTTAGGTAACTTTTGGGTCCAGTTATTGTCTAGTTTATCCATGTGTAAGTGAAATCCACCAGTGAATGAACCATTGATTATTCTCTCCTTGCCAAATAGAAGGAAATTTGAGCGGAGGAACAAGAGGGTAAAATTATGATGGGGGAACTGCCATGTCCTGAACTTGTCTTCCTCATCTTTGTATACTTCTCTTGGAATATCTTCCTGCAACATTTGAAAACCATCAGCCATGTTACTATGGTAGTCAATACTTAACTAATTTATTAATATGAAGAAAAATGGGATATTGAATATTGTAACTTGTATTAGTTTCTCCAGTAGTGTGGTTTATGAAATTGTGAGAAGTTTAAATAAGTTATTTGTGTATTACACCATCAAACTATTAAAACTAGAATTTACTTGCATAAAAGATTTTTGTTATTGTCAATTCTAGCCTTCTAGGTGAGGTGTACTTTTGTTCCTAAAAAGTGTATTTGATTACTGATATGGTTGCAAAAGTTCTATCTAAATATCTTCAATTAATACAATATATAATGCCTCGAGGTAAAGAGGACAAAGCAGCCGCCTCTAAACAACATTTTAGCATCAATCAAATGAATGCCTCTAATATTACAAGTATCAATATGATTTGCCTCTAATAATGTCTTACTTGAATCACATAAATTGTTTTCCCTAATTAAATTTTGATGCAATGTAATATGTATGCCTCTAATAACATTTTGTGACAAAATCATTCGATTGCCTTTAAAAGTATGCCTTTTTAGAAGCACACTTTTGTTACCTCAAAAAAGCATTTTAGAGGCAATCAACATTTTGCGATGGATTATTTGAAGGTAACCACTAAATTGCTTCTAAAAAGCATTAGAGGCAATGTTATCATTGTTAGGAGCAATTTTGATGTGCCTCTCTACAAATCAATTTTATTCTAGTGATGATCATTAAAGTAAACTTAAATTTCTTCATGCTCAATATGTGCAGTGGTTATAAGAAATTCATGTTGCCCCTTCACTGGTGGTTGATTCTATGGGTGAAGAAAAAGTTGAAGAATCAAAATTGATCTAGCTACAAACCGACTTAAATCGAACCGACCATAACAAACTGAATGAAACCAAAACTGACCAAACCTTTGGTGGTTCGGTTTACGGTATACTCGTATGATTTTAGGGTTAGACATTTGACCGAATTGACAATCCCCCCCCCCCCACCAAAAACTCAAATCGGTATAATTACTCCATAAATTTTAACACATATTCCCTTTGGCTCAGTATAAGCTTCCCATTTCTATTTCGGGAAATAATTAACACTCTTAAATGATAGTTTAATATTCAAGTATTAAAACTAATTTACCTATAACATCACAACTATCATCAATGACCTCAATATATAATATGTCCAACAAAGTTACTTCTCAAATATATTCAAATAATCTTATTTATTTATTATCAAAAGAACCGTGCCATTTATCAATGAAAAGTTTCAACAGGGAATAAGGTAATAGATGTTATTAAGCATTCATATATGGGGGAGGGAAACTTTTTCCTACTCATATATCCTAAAATATTCTTGAACATTTTTGTGACTTCCAGCTTATATTGTTTGTCCATTTAAACCAATCGTTTGTATAGTGCATACTAATTCAATCCTTCGAGATAATACAATTCAGATCCAGAAACAATATATGAAAAAACAAGAAGATAAAATAACAATGATAAAAATAAGTGTGTCATTATACAAAAAAGGCACCAAAGAGAAGTACTAACCGTAGACAACATGCACAAAAGAGATTCAATATGATTACGACCAAATGAATCACCAATGAAAGCCATTGTCTTTCCTTTAACATGGCACAAAAAGGCTTTGGAATCAAACCGTGGAAGATGACAACCTTCTGGTTTCCATCTCCAGTAAAGATAATCCATATCATTCCTTCCATTTAACAAACAGTTTCTATTCAAAGGGATAGATTTACGGCTGAGATTTGAATACAGAGGACCGTCCTCATCTTTAACCCAACGACCATCGAACAAATTGCAAGTATTATTATATATACCTATTAGCAATATGATTATAGTCACATTAAAACAAAAACTATTATATAGAATACGCTAATGGTTAATAACTTTCATTCGGTAAAGTGTTATAAATGATCATTTCACTAATATTGCTTTTAAATAGTACACAAGTAAGAAGATAAGGACTTATCTCAAAACAAATTTAGTGTTAGTATACCAATTTGCTACATTAGCCATGTGTACTAATTTTTATTCTTTCTATTCCAAAATAAATTTACTTTAATTTATGTAACCTTCTATGCATGGTTTGTCTCAATAGTTTGTGTCCTTTTAAGAGTGGAAAGGTTATTCTTATCATTAGATATAAAATCTCTTGTAAAAAATGAAAAAAGCCAACCAAATAAACTATTTTACATTATATTGCTACTCACTTGTTATAGGATGATGGAAATAGGCATTTGTTGAAGTGTGAGGATAATCTTTGATAGTTGTGAATCTGAATGGAGTTAAAGTATAAAAGATATACAAAGAGAACATAATATATAAAAGTAGCGAATAGAACCACAAAAACACGCCGCCACCTAGCACGAAGCGTTTCTCAAGCCTAACCATGGAGTTGTTGAGCACTCCCGAGTGATCAGTGGCATCCATGTTAGCTAAAACTAACTCCCAGAAATAACACAAAGTTCTCAAAGCAAAAGAAGACAATGACAATGAGTAAAAACTAATATGTTCAGTGAACGTAAGACGTTTTCTTTCAACACATGGAAGTTGCTAAATATGGATGGGTCATACAACACAAACAAGAAGATATGAAAATGTATGATTACATTCTTCCGCTGTAATTAGTACCAAATATCTTGTACATGAACTTTATGTCTAATGATTTGAGCAAAAAAGGAAATCTTAGATTTTTTATGTGGTTTACGTATGTATAAAATCATATCATCTTAGGAGGAAGAGAGAAAGTAATTAAGATACAAAAATGGAGAAAATGAATTAAAATATCTTAAAACGGAGGCCCTGTGCGACAATAAAAATTGGGACTTTTTTCAAATTGCAACACAAGCAAATTGTCTTAAAAGACAAGTTACTAATAAATAAACGCAATGATTAAAATGAAAATAGTCATTAATAACTTACAATTTATTTAAAAAGAGACATTCATCAATTTAATAATTCAAAAATTCAACAAATAACAACAATTCAACAATTATACAATTCATCAATTCAATAATTCAAAAATTCAACAAACAATTCATCAATTCAAATATTCACAAGAATTTAACAAACAAGTCATCAATTCAATAATTCAAAAATTCAACAAACAAATCATCAATCCAATAATTCAAACATTCACAAGAATTAGCAACTAATTCAATAAAAAAATTGAAAATCAGTGGACTGACCGTCAAGATTCAAGAAGGCAACGTGAGGGTCAGAGCCGCGGACTCGCGGAGCTTCTAGCTGGCCACTGGTGCTGGTGGAGTACTAGCCGGATTGGTGGAGCCGTGGTCTGTGGAGAGTGGAGTGGAGACCGTGGAGTACTAGTCGGCTGGACTGCAGAGTGCAGAGGGGCGAAGCCGCGGACTCGCGGAGCTTCTGGAGTTCTTTTTCGTCCATCAATCATATCGACATCAAGTTTGTGGCCTTCATACATCCATCAAATTTTTATCTTACAGTTACGAGTTTTAGAACTCGTAATGAAATACAACAAGGTATGATCAAGTTAAATACTACAGGTATTCGGGTCAACTCGACAATGATTTTTAATTTCTGAGTTATATGTACTTATCCCTTATTATTGTGTAAAATAAGTATGTAGAAATTGAGCTTTAGAACTCGATAAATTCTTTCTAATGACTATAAGATGCTTCAAACCCACATAACGAAATACTACACGAGTTTCGAGTGAAATCAGAAATGATTATGAATGTTTGGTTAATCTGTACATGTTTTTTAATACATTGTAAATGAAGTCGGAACAGTAGTTTAAGAATTCAAAACGATAATTCCAACAAGATTTGAAACGCTTGAAATGGAAGAACATATATCAAGATATGATCAAATCAAATACTATTGTTTTCGGTAATATAGCGGTTTAAGAGTAAATAGGTTATATTTAGCCAAAACAGATTCTTGGGTTCGACATTCGGTTCATTAAGAGATGTAGAACTCGATAAGATGTTTAGAGCGAGATAAAAAATGTTTGCAACGCAACAAATATAAAAAGCTATGATCAAGTCGAATACTACACGTCTTCAGGTCAACTCAGCAATGATTTTTAATTTATGAGTAATACGTACATATCTTTTATTATTTTGTAAATGGAGTCGGAAAAAGAGTTCTAGCTCCATAAAATATTTTCAACGAGCTATAAAATGCTTCAAACGGAATGAAATACTACAAGATACGATCAAATCAAATATATACTAATTTCCCCAAGAAGTAAGAACTACTGGAATGATTCTTTTTTTTATGTGGTTTATATTGAATTATGCCTTGTTAATAAAATATCTTTTTTATTCTTATGTGATCATCCAGTTTCTAGATCAGCCACTTGCTATAGTTCTGCCAACGTCGTATTACCTTCCACTTCAAAAGACATCAGATTTACTTCTTTTTCGGGTCAGACAAATGAATATTGCACAGTTTTTTTTGTTCTGTTAACATAGGTTGCATCGAAGAATGCCACTAATCGCATGTCCAGTGGTTGTGCAGTTGGGTCTTTACAGCTTAGTGGATGGCATTATGACCCAAAACTATGGTCCGGTTATTCGTGAATATGGAGTATTATTTTGGTCTCCACAACTACTCTAAAAATATCACATGATCAATCTGCATAAAAGTATTATTACCATTAAGATCAAGAACTGTGATCTTTATTAAACGCACATTCATGACTGAGTCTGAAAATGAACTAATCAAATGAATTATTGACTAGCATCTTTTAGAAAATGATACCAATGACCCACTGAAAACCAAAAGTTTCTGTTGATTCAGTGTTTGGTTTTCAAGTTTGTTCATTTACTCGGTTATTTCTCACCCTATGTCACACAATGTTGTGAAGCAATCAACCTGTGATCATTATTAGATCTTTTAATGCAATTTTTACATCCTCAAATAAAATCTGAAACCCCCATCTTTCGTCCTCTTTTAACTAACAGATATACAAACCTATTATACAACTGTCAATCTACTCGGAATATTTAGACTAATTGTCACATTAAATTCTTATTGAACTGCCCATATGAAATTATTGCAGCTCTGGATTCGTGGAGTATGAAGCTGTACATACATATTCTGTGTTAGATGAACAAATGTTTTTATATGTTGATGTTATTTCAGTGTTCGTAAAGGATGGAACACTGAAGTAATATTAGATCTGCAAAAGTTTGTTATAGAGATGGTAACACTTTTGAAGGGTTTTTTTGCATTTCTCATCTTATATATGCCTTTAATCAACTATTCATATTTTTGTTGTGTCCTTGTAGAGGTTTTTGTAGCTGCAACTGTTACATAAAGAATCTATTTCGTGGTCGAATCAGGGAATGGTTTTTTCCCACCAGGGAGCTGAAATACTCCAATCTAATTTTATGCATTGCAACATGAAAATGAAGTGAAGAAATAGACAGTTTTTTGTGAAAGTCAGAAGTTTTAAGAGGTCTTTGGTCCTATTACTTCTTTCCCCTACACCCTTTATTTCTCTTATACTAACCAGTACTAGAGTTATACTACAGTCCTTTTTTGTGACCCTTGTGGCCATCCATTCCGCTTCTCATTGTTATTCCGTGTCAATTAATCTTATTTTACTCTAGAACTGTACCCGGACGAGTGGACGACAAACTACACTTTGGTTGGGCATCGACCCTCGTTAAAAGTCTTGAACATTTCAATAAACAAATTTGCAAAGTTACAAGCAAAACCTTGTAGTTTGGAAATGAATATTTAGTAAAAGTTTTGTGTTGTTGTTAGGCCATCAAGCCACTAGGGAAATAATACTACCCCGTAGTAGTTCTTTGGAATGGAGGTAACGCCTCTCTATTGATCATATCATTGGCATTCAAAGATCAATATAGAAGTGGTATTGAAATCTGCACATATATTGATCAGTAAAGATCAATAATATTGAATGTCAAACACATAACTTCGAAATTTGAAATATGCACATAATTATGTGAAGATAAAAAACAAATGTGGCTCTGCAAGCACAACACTACAATAGTATAAGTATCATCCGTGAAAATTTACTTTTTACGGTTTAGCATACAAAAGAAAATAGAAATGCGAAAAACATTATACTACCCATGTCCTAAAAACAAATTTCCACTTTGATCTATATACATATTTATGCAAAAAGTAAATGTTACTTTTCAAGTGCACCCTTACTTTATTTCAATTTTCAAGTGGAGCAAAAGAAAGCAAAAAAGGTAATAGAGACATTTGCCTTTTAAAAATTCTCCTTTCCATGGAAATGGGAACCTCTTTTGAGGGCATCTAAATAAAGCATAACTTGTTTTTAGGGTGGAAGGAGTTATTTTAAAGGGCAATTCTTGGTGTACATAAATTGTGCATTGTTTGTGTCAACGGACAATTAGGGGGTTTTGGCATCAAATTTTGCCCATTTTCAAACGAATTGCCTATGTAGACATGCAACTAGGGGGATTTTGTGTATACCAATTCATGTACAGTAAGAGTTTTTCTATTTTAAATATCAAAATGGTATATTATTGGAAGTTGTTAATATTGACCATATAGTGACTGATTACATCCTTGGAAGTTGGTTAATATTGGTAAGTTATATCGCTAGTGCATCATTTTGCTATCCTTTTTTATTGCCTATTTGCCTTGGCTAACGAAACCAATTTTTTAAAGTACTACTAGTTCTATATAATTAGAATAAGTTATTCATATCAAGTTTGAAGATTTTTATAAATTTGTATAAAACTTATGCTTTCAAGGAAATCCACTATATTGAACTTTGTTGAGAATCCTTGGACTTCTGAGAAAGTTTGTCTTCAAAAAAGTCCATATAATGGAAATACAATATTTGTTAATGAAATATTGCCCTGTGTTTATCTTTACTCAATGAATGTGAGTAATCAATAAGGGTTGGCTTTTTATGAGCCTTCCCTTCCACGGTTCCACCTTCAATGGAGCCTGCCACAGTGCCACCTGTGGCCGATGCTCTATATCAACAAATTCCTATGAATATGTTAATAATGTTAAATTGTTTCCAATGAATATATGTGCGGTTATATTGTACTAGTAATATTTATACCCTCCTTCTAAGAGGAAAATATGAAAGTATGTAGATACCAGAAAACAATTTTAACAATGCACTTTGTAGTAGAAAAGAGACATGTAATTTTAACAATGCACTCAGAAATGGAGTTGAAGAACATCAACCATAAGTCCATAACTTATAAGCCCCAGGCATCCAGGCATCCAGGCTCCAGCTGACAATCTGACTAACCTCACACCAGAATGTAAGTAACGGAAGAAACATCAATGGCAAGCAACATAAACAGTTAAACACCATCACACTGAAGAACACTGAAACAAGATAGTTTTACAGGCAGAATATATAAATATATAGAAAACCACAAGCAAACCAGAGTTTTAGCAGCATGGACACCACTTGTCCACTCATGTGATGCATCATCCCAAGTATTTGGGAATTTATTGAAAAAATGAAAATTCAAAGCAAACCACATACTTCTAGGTTGATGCAGCCCCAAATGACTGTCAGCCACTAGAGATGTGATTCCAATGCTATATGATGAGGAACATATAGAACACGGTTTTTTTAGTAGTTTAGCATGGTAGGAACTGTGCCTTTGTGGAAGAGCACACCACAAATAACATTCAATTAATCATCATAGTGCTTGCGATGGTGACGATTGTGATGCTTGTGGCTATCCTCATCATTAGAATCATCATCACCCTGCCAGTGTTTTGAACACTCAATCGGATTAGAAACTAAGGTAACCCGAACAGGAGTCAAATGTTGTAGGAATGTACATTCACACTATAGAATGGCAGACAACATGGAATTAATGCAAATTCTATGTTTCTTCTGGATGTTGAAGTACTATTTTAAAATTACCTTCCTAGCTAAAGTTTGAACCATATATGTGTGTGCTTCAATAAGTCAACCATGGACTATAGTGAGTTACAGCAAGAAGACATTTTTTCGCCGTTAGAGGATGGGAAAAAGTACAAATTGCATAGGTAACAAGAACTCAGCATACGTGTTCCAAATGGAAAGTTCCACCAACAGGAACAAAAACATAATACAATTCATGAAGAGAAAAGCTGGTGGTAGGAAAAGGTTAGGCAATGGGATAATCGTATATATATATACCGATATACTTCAATGAATAAAGGATATAAAGATATTCATTGGAGATAAATCTGTGCAATTACCCTCATTGTGAAACTCATTGCCTGAACCAATGCCTCGGCACACCTCTCATTTTTCAAATAGGAGTATCATTTAAAAAGGATTAATTTACTGGTAGGCAAAAAGAAGGATGGTCCTACTTGAACACATCAGATTTGGTAATTGGTATACATTATTTTCCTTTCAAATAAATTGTTAGGGATTCCTAGAAGGTATTCAACAAAGTATAATGCTAGATGGTTGGATATCATCACGCTTACTAGGCAAAATAATAGCTAAACAATGCACTAAGAGTCGTAGGCTTATAGCGGTATTAGAGCACATGAATATTTACCAATGTAACAACAATGCAATGACAATCAAAAGGAAAAAACAGGTCCGCTCATCCATTTGGCAAAACAAGTGAAAGTGAATTAGTTTGAGAAAAAGCTATAGAAATGCTCACATATTTCTTGCGACCATATCCTTCATCATCATCACCACGCCTCTCATAGCTAGGCTTCCTGTATTCCTCCTCCTCATCGGGCTTTTTATAGCTCGGCCTATCATATGTTGACCTCCCATAACCTTCAGTCTCTTCAGTCTTGTAGCTTGACCGACCATAGCTGGGCCTTTCTTCACCATAGCCTGGTCTCTCTCTCACTGGCTCAGCCCTTTCTCCGCCAAAGCCATGCCCACTTCCCTCTTCCTGTCCATAGCTTGGTTTTCTGCCATATCCACTAGATTCGTAATCAGTAGCAGGCTGCTGATACTCACTCTTCCTTCCATACGCGGATCCATATTCGGAAACGGGCTCTTCATTTCCACTCTTACGCCCATAGCCAGATCCATACTCGGAAATGGGATTTTGTTCTTCCTGCCGGCGTCCATAGCCAGATCCATATTCAGAAGCTGGTTGATCAAATTCAGTCCTACGTCCATATCCAGATTCGTGTTCAGAGCTTGGCTGTTCGTACCCGCTCTTCCGCCCATAACCAGAACCGTATTCAGAACTGGGACGTTCGTGCTCGCTCTTCCGCCCATAACCAGAACCGTATTCAGAACTGGGGCGTTCGTCCTCGCTCTTCCGCCCATAACCAGAACCGTATTCAGAACTAGGACGTTCGTCCTCGCTCTTCCTACCATACCCTGATCCATATTCAGAGGTCGGTTTCTCGTATGCTGGCTTGCGACCATACCCGCCTTCAGATCCGAATCCGCCCTCTCCGTACTCAGATTCACCGCCGGGTCGATTCATCTCAGGCTGGAACCCATAGTTAGGGCGGGGATTCTCAGATCCACCATACCCCGGTCCGGATGAGCCTCCATAAGAAGCGGTAGGTCGAGGCTTAGGTCGGGCATAGCTCTTGTACTCATCATCAAGAGCTGCATCAGCATAGGCAGATGGCTCAGCAGAGGAGGTATAATGGGGACGGTCGTAGTCAAATTGGCCGGAGGATGACGAGATGGGATAGCAGGTTTCCTCCGATGGCGGAATGGGACGGCCGTATTCGAGGGTAATGTCGTACCCTCCGTCGTAAGGGGTGGGGTCATACTCATCGAAGTCGTCGACGGCGTCGTCACCGGAGTGGTGGTGGCCTTTGGGGTAGTATGACATGGTTGAAATAGATGAGTTAGATTCCTCTGCAGCTAATGTGAATCACAGGTATCGCCAATCCAAAGCCAGGAAAGACCTATTTATGAGTCCGAAAGTTCCACCCATGGGAACGGATGCCGTTTCGGTCTAACCCCGAAATTACCGGTTGCGTGGGGCCCTTGCGATCCCATTCAACCGAAACAGCTTGGTCCTCTCATTTTGCTTTGAAAAAATAGAAATTGCTCGTAGAAACGTTTTGAAATTCAAAAATAGGAGCATCATGTTTTTTATTCTCTGAATAGGAGTAATCTGCTAAGTTTGGAAAAAATGTCATGTTTTAAAGCCTAATAATACCAAATTTGGTATCAATTTACTCTTATTCAAGGAATAAAAAACATGATGATGGATAGTGTACCCAGGGGTAGCTTATCCGAGGGGTTATTACGAGAAATAACTAGAGAGAAGTCAGAGCAAGTAAGTAGAGAGAGAGAGAGTATCAGAAATGTATTCAGCGTTTTCAGCGTCTTGTGTCTTGGTTACAAATGGGGAAATGGGGTGCTATTTATAGTAGTAATAAATGCCAGACAGGGACACGTGTCAAGCAACCATTGGCCGCGGGGTCACCTCAACTGGTTGGCGCTGGCAACCGCATGTGGCCGCATTTAATGCGGCTGTTGGATGTGACATCGTACTGGGCACGATGATCCATACGTACGTGGAGCGGATATTATGTCGGAAAAGGTGTCCTCGGTTGTAGGTGATTAGCCGAGGGCTCTGAGTGTTGGGGACCCCCTTAGTGTCGAGGGCTCTAGGTGCCGAGAGCTACTAATTTTTGCCGTTCTCTCCCAGTGACCTTGTCTTCCTGTTTTGGTCCTTCCGTGAGGTTCAGAGCCTTCGGCCAGGGAGCCGAAGGCACCCCTGGTGCGCATTGTGGGCTGCTTGGTACCCCGGGCGTCGTGATTTGGGCTTGTTGTGCTTCCTGAGCCTATTCAGAGGTCGGTTTCTCGTATTCAGAGGTCGGTTGCGACCATACCCGCCTATCAGAATTGGCGGAGGGGGAGGAGGAGGAGGAGGAGGAGGAGGAGGAGAAGAAGAAGAAGAAGAAGAAGAAGAAGAAGAAGAAGAAGAAGAAGAAGAAGACAGAATTGACTTCTCTCTAATTATTACTTCTTCTTCTTCAAATTGCAGAGGTCGGGAGCTCTCAGCCATTGAACCCGATGCCTATCAGCGTTGCCCCCGGGAAGAAAAGAAAGGTGAAGGCTGCCGGGAAGAAGAAAGAGGTTGCCGTCGACACCGGGCAACCAGTAGGAATTCCCGAAGGCTACTCCTACCTGAACACTGCTGCCTTGGACGTGAAGACTCGAGCTACACGGGGAGAATACATGGCTACGCAGCTCCTGGTAGGGCCGTCGGCACTGGTAGTGGAGCCGGGGCCAGATGATGTTTTGCTATACGCTCCCGCCGGTTGTTTTGCCGTGCATCTGCTTTCGGTGGAGTTGTGCCTTCGATTCCCCCTCCATCCCTTCGTGGTGGAGTACCTTCGGTATGTCAAGCTAGCCCCCTGCCAATTGACCCCAAACAGCCACTCCTACTTGGCTGGCTTCCTCTCCCTCTGCCGGAGCCGGGATGTGGAGCCTTCGCTGGACCAATTCTTCCTCTCTTTCAATCTGTGCCGGGGGGCACTCGAATGCCGGTGGTTTTGCCAACCTGCAGCAGCTCCCAGAATTTAGACTCTTCGATGATGTCCCTTCGTCCCGCAAGGGATGGAAAGATAAATTCTGCTACATTCGGATGGCGGAGAATCCCTTCCCGGTCCTACTTCGTGATAGCTTCCGTCGGCATGTCAAGGTAGGAAGCGCCGCCTTGGAGAATAAAGGAAGGAAGCTCTCCAAGAAGCCTGAGGGGTCCGATAAGCATACCAAGATCAGGGATGCTACCCTTCCAGACGATCTTTACAACCTGGGCTTTCAGCGGTATCGGCTGATGGGGGAAAGCGACGAGAGATATCCCCCCGTCGATAGAGTTTATCAAAGCGCCGGAGGTAGTTGACTTGCCGAGGGCTCCCGTTTTATACTTAGAATATATTATTCTCTTCTCTTTTTTCTTTTTGGTATTGTCCTCCTAACCCTCCTGTATTTCCTTTGCTTTTCAGGACCAGACATGGACGCCCGGAATCTCTCCAAGTTGAAGAAACAACTCGCAAAGGAGAACAAGAAGAAGGACCCCTCGGTGCCACAGAGGGGGTTGGACGAGATCTACCCGAGGGCGGGTGCAAATGACGAGGCCCAGGAAAGTGTGCCCAAGGAAAAAATTGCCGCCGGCGACGACGTTGGTTCCAACGCCGAGGGCTCCCCTGTTGAGGCCTTGAAGAGGAAAAGGGCCGGGAAGGTCGTGGTGCCCCCGGAGGGAAAAAATAGAAGAAGGGGGCCCGAGCCGAAAGGGGCCCCGGTTGTTATTGTGGAGGAACATTCCTCCTCCGAGCCTCCGGCCCAAGCCCCCGGACTGGCATGGCCCCATGATAATGTGCAGTTCTCCATCACTAAGGGGACTGCCATTATGCACGCCACGTTGAATCCGAGGGAGTTCCTGAGGGGGGCCACCCCCCCCCCCCCCCCCCCGACGGATAAATCTGTGCTCTCTCGGCAAACTGATGACGCCCTCTGTTCCAAGATTCTTCAGGCTTCGGTTACCGTAAGTTCCCCTTTCCTTCTTCCCTTTTTTTTGTTCTCTTCCTCCCCCCTTTTTTTGCACTGTGGTTTTAAACTTCGGTGATTCATGATCTCTTTTGTAGGCAAGCCTCGGCCTCGGTGAACTCATTCAGCGGATGGAGCGCTATGCCCTTCAGAAGCAGAAGGATGACGAGTCCTTGGCTGTGGTCCAAAGGCGGCTCCAGGAGGCAGAGGAGGCTTCCAGGGTCGAGAGGGTGGCCTTCGAGAAACTCCTCGAGAATGCCAAGGTGCTGGCAAAAGCCGAGGGGAGGGCTGAAGGTGAGAAGGCAGCTGCTGAGGCCGCCAAGAAGGCTGCTGAAGACGCTGAGGTTGCCAAGAAGGAGGCAGCGGGGGAAGCGGTGGCAGCCTTCATCGCCGAGGGGTGGAAAGCTGAGGCCCAGAAAACGTGGGTGGCCGCGGTTGTCGAGACCTCCGTGGAGGAATGGGTGAGAGGCCCCGGGGCAATGTGGCTGGCCCAGAAGGGGAAAGAATACTATGATGGGGCGGGTACTTCACTCAAGCCCTTAATCTACCGGATGCTGGCCAGGCACCTGGGAGCAGACTCGTCGGCGTTTGACCCCGCGGCTTATGGGCTCCCCCCTCTTCAACCGGACACCAGGGTTCCCCTCCCCGAGGGCACCAGCAGGCCAGATCTTGAGGACACTATCCTGATGGCGGAGTGCAGCGATGAAGAAGAGGATGTTGCGGGGGATGCTACGTCGAAGTCTGCCGACGGAGGCGACGCTGCTGCAACTGATGATGTAGTTATTGTGTAGTACTTAGGAAATTTTTGAACAATCTTGTTGTAACGATTATTTGTATGCTCTCGGCTTCGGCCACTCTGTAATATACATTTTAACTTTTCCTTCCTTTTGATGAATGGATACCCGCCTTCGGGTTTTGTACATAAGTCGTTGCTTTTAACTGTTTTTCTTTGAATGTATGCCCTCGTCTTTCTTGTGTGTATGCCTTCGTCTTTGATTGTAAGACTTAGAAATTTTCTCTCTAAGCATAGTCCCTTTTGTAGCCCTCGACCACTAGGCCTGTTTAGCCATCTGAACATTTCACCGAGGGCACAATGTTCAGGACTTAGAAATATTTCTAAGTGTTTGTTCATCTGTTGGCCCCCGGCTAATTCCTTCCCTCTTGTTCTGTGTAGCCTTAATGAGATGACCGGAGGCGAGGTGTTTAGGACTTAGAAGAATTTCTCTAAGTGTTTGAATACAGACTAGCCTTCGGTAATTGGGTACCCTTCGCTGTCTGGATGTATGACCGAGGGCCCAGAAATAGTTAGGACTTAGAAAAAAATTCTAAGTGTAGCTTCACCAAGCCTTCAACCGTATGGCCCCTCGGGCAGTATGGAGATTTGACCGAGGGTCAAAATATGTAGGACTTAGAAAATATTTCTAAGCGTAGTTGTGTGAGGTAGGAGCCCTCGGGTGAATGTGAGGACCTTGTCTCAGATATGCCTTCGGTTGACTGGTGGCTCCACAGGGGGCAAAGTATTTAGGACTTAGATTATTTTCTCTAAGTATTTCCTGCTGCTGGCCTTCGGGGGGGACCCTTCGGCTGTATACGCTGTAGGTTTAGGATAGTTTCCTTTGCCTTGTAATGTTGGCTTGTGGCAACGAAAAGCCTTCGGTTGTTTGTTATGTCCCCTTAATGTTGATATAGGAGAGTTTGTAATCCAAGTGTAGCATAAAAAGGCAGACTCCCTCGGGAATTGTCTGGATGTATCCCCTCGGCATGCGGTGAGGTGTCGGAGGTGATTCTTGATTTGGTATGGCCACCATCTGATAGTTTTGTTATATAGAAGCCTTCAGGGACGTTTTTGAGTTGTTGTTGGTGTAGCCGGAGGCAATCATTGAGTGGACTTGGTCATTTGTTGATGATGTTTGTTGTGAATGTTTTGATAAACTCTATTGACGGGGGGATATCTCTCGTCGCTTTCCCCCATCAGCCGATACCACCGAAAGCCCAGGTTGTAAAGATCGTCTGGAAGGGTAGCATCCCTGATCTTGGTATGCTTATCGGACCCCTCAGGCTTCTTGGAGAACTTCCTTCCTTTTTTCTCCAAGGCGGCGCTTCCTACCTTGACATGCCGGCGGAAGCTATCACAAAGTAGGGTCGAGAAGGGATTCTCCGCCATCCGAATGTAGCAGAATTTATCTTTCCAGCCCTTGTGGGATGAAGGGACATCATCGAAGAGCCTGAATTCTGGGAGCTGCTGCAGGTTGGCAAAACCACCGGCATTCGAGTGCCCCCCCCCCCCCCCCCCCCCCCGGCACAGATTGAAAGAGAGGAAGAATTGGTCCAGCGAAGGCTCCACATCCCGGCTCCGGCAGAGGGAGAGGAAGCCAGCCAAGTAGGAGTGGTTGTTCGGGGTCAATTGGCAGGGGGCTTGTAACACTT